GAACAGGAAGCAGGGGGAAGACTTCAATATTTATTTACAAACATTTATTTAATGCCTACTGTATGTCAGGCACTGTTGCAAATGGTAGGAATAGTCCTTTTTGAGCTTATGCTAAGCACATAAGCAAGATGATGTTAATAGTGGCAAGTGCTATGAAGCCCAAGAAGTGAGGAAAGGGGAGAAAGACTGGGTAAAGTGACCAGAGAAGGCCTTTTAAAAGTGACATGTGAGCAAAATATTAAAATGAAGACATGAGCCGTGAGTATTTGGGAAGAAAGACATTCTCCTGTGTAGTGCAAAAACCTTGAGGCAGAATACATTTGGTAGGATTCGAGAAACCTCAGAGAGGCTAGTGTGGCTAGAGCAGAGTGAGAGAGTGGGGTAGGAAATAAAATAGTCATGCAAGGATTTTATTTAAAATAGTAGAGGCCCAGCGCATGATTGAAATCATGCGAGGAGGCGCCCCACCTCCTGCCTCCCACCTCCCGCCTCCTCGCCCGGCCACCCTTGCGTGCCTCGCTGCGCACGCAGCCTCCTGCTGATTGGTCATTATGGTGTGACGGAGTGATGACCATTAGCATATTAGCTCTTTATTATATAGGATAATGGGAAGCCATGAGTGGATTGGAGCAGGAGGGTGACATGATCTGATTTGTTTTAAAAAGACCATTCTAGCCCTGACTAGTGTGGCTCAGTAGTTGAGTGTCAACCTATGAACCCAGAGGTTGCGGTTTGATTCCCAGTCAGGGCACATGCCAGGGTTGCAGGTTCAATCCCCAGTAGGGGGTGTGCAAGAGGCAGCCAGTTGATGTTTCTCTCTTATTGATGTTTCTTTTCCTCTCACTCTCTCTTTTTAAAATATATTTTTATTGATTTCAGAGAGGAAGGGAGGAGATAGAAACATTAATGATGAGAGAGAATCATTTATCAGCTGCCTCCTGCATGCCCCCTACAGGAGATGGAGCCCAAAACCCGGGCATGTTCTCTGACCGGGAATCAAACCGCAACCTTATGGTTCATAGGTCGCTATTCTTTTTGGTTTTTTGTTTTTGTTTTTTGTTAATCCTCCCCTGAGGATATTTTTCCATTGATTTTTAGAGAGAGTGGAAGAGAGAGGGAAAGACAGAGAGAAACATCGATGTGAGAGAGACACATGGATTGGTTGTCTCCTGCATGAGCCTTGATGAAGGTCTGGGCCAGGAAGAAGCCAGCAACATAGGTTCATGCCCTTGACCGGAATTGAACCCGGACCCTTTGGTCTGCAGGCATACGCTATATCCACTAAACCAAACTGGCTAGGGCAATATAGATCATTATTCTTAACATCGCTGGTCCCATATGTGGTATTGAATATACATGGGTTTAGGGGATTCATATTTGTAGGCCTTGTGATTACAATATGATAACATTACAATATGATAACATGGTTCCATTCCTGGTCAGGGCACATGCCCGGGTTGTGGGATCCATCCCCAGTAGGGGGTGTGCAGGAGGAAGCCAATCAATGATTCTCTCTCATCATTGATGTTTCTGTCTCTCTCTCCCTCTCCCTTCCTCTCTGAAATCAATAAAAATATATTTTAAAAATAATAATATTCACTATATCCACCAACTTTTTCTGCTGACCTGCATTGAGGTGTTATTCCCAAGATGGCAGCAGAGAATCACACTCGGAACATTTTTTAAAGTTACCATGTACTATGAAGCAAGTTTCACCAAACTGCAAAGGATTAAAATTACATAAAGTATGTTTCTTGCTCTGTTTGGATTTAGTCTAGAAATCAGCAACAGAAGTTAACTAGAAAGTCCTTATATTTAGAAATTATGAAATACACTCCCAATTAAACCCCCAAATACCTCACAATTGGAGCTAGACAATAATTAGAACTGAATGATAATAAAAATACTACATTACAAGACTTTCAGAAAAATGTGCAGTCTTAAGTGCACATATTAGGAAAAGAGACAAGTTGAATATTTACAAGTTTTACACCCTTCTTGGAATCTGGAATAGTAAATTAAATCCACAGAAAGTAGAGGAAAGGAACTGTGCATGTAGAGTTGTCTGGAAGGGTATGTACTTAAAACAAAAGCAGTTTTTACCTCTTGGGGTAGGATTTTGAATTAATTGTATATTTCTGTTTAGTTTAAGTGAGCTGCAACAAACAAAGCCATTTTCATTTTAGGAAAAAAAAGTACTAGAGGAAAACATGGAATAGTTAAAAAAAATTATAAGAACCTAAATTGTTGTCGAACCGGTTTGGCTCAGTGGATAGAGCTTCGGCCTGCGGACTCAGGGGTCCCAGGTTCAATTTCGGTCAAGGGCATGTACCTTGGTTGCGGGCATGTCCCCACTGGGGGACGTGCAGGAGGCAGCTGGTCGATCTCTCTCATCGATGTTTCTAACTCTCTATCCCTCTCCCTTCTTCTCTGTGAGAAATCAATAAAATATATTTAAAAAAACAAAACAAAACAAAACAAAAAAAAAACCTAAATTGCTGTGGTGAGAACACCAGAGCCTTTTCTTTGGTCACCCAGTTTGTCTCTCGACAGTCAGAGTGGGGAAATTATTCCAAACAATTTAGTCCAAATTCGCTCCTTTTCTAATTTGCACTTCTTCATGTGTCATTGCAGCAGTTCTGATGGAGGGAATTCCTAAGGCTTTGGTCTCTAAAACAGATCTTAGCCTGGGTCTGCATTTACAAGCCATGTTCTTCTGGACATGGAACAAACCTCTTAGGGTCTTTTTTTATTACTAATAAATTTATCATTTTTATAGTTTTCCACTTCATTGTTGAAAAATTTAGGCTTAAGACTCAGCTTTGTTCCTGAAAGTCTGTAATGTTGGCCCTCGCAATGCTCAAGTAAACTGGGACCACAACTGTACATTCCTAAATCCGCTGTCCAGTCTAGAGGATGTGTTCACGGAAAGGTGGTCCCATGGGTGGTCTCACTTAAATTGGCACCTGAGACTTGTACCCCAGAAACAGTCCAGGCACACCTTTCTGGTCCTCACAGGCTGGCTGTACCTGCTCCCTGCCCCAGCTCACCTCAAGGCCCCCTCACTGGACCCCATTGCTCACCTCATGTTTGGCTTCACCCCAGGTCTCACTACCAGGCCCCACCGCTTGCGTGGACGCACTTCAACTTATGTCTGCCTCACTGCTCACCTGAGGTGTGGACTGAGGACTGTGGGTCCTCCTGGCCCAGCTTCCCATCTCAGGTCCTTAAGAATACCTATATATTAACTTCTAATGAAAAACAGAGCTATCAAAAGAACCCAGATATTAATTTCATCCAGAGTACCATTTCCCTGGACTATGGTAGAGAATTTTTTTTTCATGTAATTAGGACATGATCAACGATTATTTTACATTAAAGAATTTGATGAGGTTTAGGAGATACGTCGATCTGATTAACAGTGGAAAGCCTGCTAGTATGTGAGTCAGAATACCTGTGCTTTATTTCTAGATCTCCAATTACTGGCTGTGTGACCTTGTGCAAATTACTTAAATTGTCTGGCTAAGTGGAAAGAAGATACTAACACTTTTTTTAGGGTTATTTTGAGGATTGGATAAATATTATAAGTGAAGTGCTGGCACACTGCCTGGTGTGGATTAAGTATTCAATAAATATTTGTTGAACTTGAACTCTGTAGGAAGTTGCTCTCAGAAAGTTATCTCCAAGAATATTTGAGAGTGATTCACACTAAGATGCAATAGATAATAAGATGCAATAGCCACACGATTTATTGTTGATGGTCTTCTAAGAGTATTTGCAATTTTAGGAGGGGGGGGGGGTTTAAAATGCCAAATCATCAGTTATCTTTATTGCTGGGATTAGTGGGTACCAGTTGCATGAAATTCCAAGGTGTTTACCTAGGCTACTCCCTGCTCTGAGTGGAAGAAGTAGATGCCAGAAGAGGTTTAGCCATTAGTAGGTTCCCACACTGGGTGTAGCTGGAATGTACCTCACAGAGGCATTTCAGTCCTCTTCATGGCTACATTTTTGAAAGATGTGTATCAAAGCTGAGCATTACTCCTAGGAACGGTTTACTCCTCGGAATGGTTTACTCCTGAAGAGCAGGCCAGAAAAATTCCCAGCGACTGACTAAAGCCATCGCTGTTCCCTCTCCTCAGAGTCATGCACAAAAGACAGCCATCCACTGTCCTCTGAAATATTCCCACACTCTTCGCTCTGTCCTCCAGACTACCCATCTGTCCCAGTCCCCTCCTTTGATCAGCGCTCACCCACGTTAGCCCAGCTCCACCTCTCAGTTAAGAGCTTGAAGCAGAAATGGGAGGAAGGAATGGGGCCGAAACTGCTATCGCTGTGACATCATCCCTGATTGCAGGCCTAAAGAAATCACTAGGGTCACTACGCCCTTGAGATGACATCCTCTTGATTTATAACCCTCTTGTGCGGTAGCTTTTGTTTGTTTACCTATCAATTTATCATAACAAGTTCAAAGGACTCGATGCCATGTCTCGCATCAACTACTCCAAGGGTACGTACAATACAAGCCGTGCCATGCGTGCCTCTTTAATAAAAGTCAGAGGAAATCTATACCAATGAGCCTCTCAGCGGTTCTCAACCTGTGGGTCGCGACCCCTTTGGCGGTCGAACGACCCTTTCACAGTGGTCGCCTAAGACCATCCTGCATATCAGATATTTACATTACGATTCATAACAGTAGCAACATTATAGTTATGAAGTAGCAACGAAAATAATTTTATGGTTGGGTCACAACATGAGGAACTGTATTTAAAGGGCCAGAAGGTTGAGAACCACTGCTCTAGCTGCTGCTCATAGCTCCAAAGGGTCGAGGTTAAATATTTCCCCGAGTAGAGAGCGTAGTTCCAGGCTGGAGGGAGGCCTGGTATCCCCAGCTGCTTCCAATGTCTTGCAGATTGTAAAGCCAGGGTTCTGCGCTGAGCTTCTCCCTGTACGCTCGAACTACAACTCCCAGGGTGCCCTGCGACCTGGGAGTGCGCAGGCGCGTGGGTGACGGAGGGGGAACCAGCCTCACAGACAGCGCGGTGGAGTTGGGGTGCTACTGGCGTGCGGGTCCGGCAACTCCCTGGGAGGCAGACGGGCGGGTGCCGGAACCGAGCTGCGGCAGTCCTCGCGGGTCTGTGAAGGAGTCGGTGGCCCCAGCAGGCGCCAGTCAGGTAAGTCCAGCGGGTGCTTTCCAGGAAGTCCGTCTGCGGGCGCGGGCAGGGAGTCGCACCGGCCATGGTGGCTGAGGAGGGAGAGGTGGCTGCTCTTCCAGCCGCCGGCCTGGGTCTTCTTCCCCACGGTCCCTCGCAGGGAGCGGGGGACGCTGAGGGTGACTTTGGGGTGACCGGGCCCGGGTGGGAGCCCTGGGGCGCGCTGGGAGGCGCCTGCGGTGGAGGCGCGCGAACCTTGAGCTGATGAATCACTCGGGGGCCGGCCTCCCCGGGTTCAGGACCGGCCCCCTCCCCACCCCTCCCCTCCCCGCCCGCCGCCTCCACCCCACCCAGGCGTAGCTCGGGGGACGGTCATCTTAAAAGGGTTTTCTCACCAGTACTCCTTCAAAGGCTTCTGCTTGTAGAAAGTCCGAAAGGGGAAAAAAAAAAACCACCTTAGGGCACACCCTTTTTTAAAATTAAAATCTGGCTTGTCCTGCGCTCGCCGGTTTGATCTCTCTGCTCTCCCTCTGTCTTAGAATAAATTCCTGGCTCCCCAGTAGCACAGCTGGATCCGGCTGTGAAGTCGCTAGTGTGTTGGTTTCTTTTGAGGACCTTGTACTTTTGCCTACAGAGGTTGGTGTGTTTCCTCGGCAGGCCTGCATTCAGACTATAAACAAACGAGAAAGAGCCGCAGGTTTTTGCTTTTTGTTTGTTTGTTTTGTTTTATGTTTAGTTAAGAATCGCGTTTCCGACTTGCCCTTGGCTTCTCTTAAAACCAAAAGTCATCCGGTAAGGAACACTGCAGTAAAGCTTATCGCAGGAGGTCATACTTGAACAGGAAATAAGCCTGTGAAATGTAAATTAGTTATGTGCGGTCTCTCTCGGCTTGTAACATTTTCATGCAGCTCATGTTTCTTTTTCTGAGAATCCTTTAGATGATGTTTTTCCCGGCAAGTTAAATTGATTAATTAATTGGTCTGTCAAAAAATAATACGCTTGGAAAAATAGTTTTGTCCAGCCTCATTTACTAGTTCTAGGCACTTTTTTACCCTATCACTTCTTTGAGAGCCCCTAATTTTATTATAAATGCTTAGAATCTCCTTTCTAACACATTCCTATGAAAGGAACAAAAAGGGAATGAAACTGTCAGATCCAGTATGTTCTCACTCTCAGCTTAATTACTTTTTTTTTTTTTAAATATATTTTATTGATTTCAGAGAGGAAGGGGGAGGGAGAGAGACAATCATGGATCAGCTGCCTCCTGCACGCCCCCTAGTGGGGATTGAGCCAGCGACCCAGGCATGTGCCCTTGACGGGAATGGACCCCGGGACCCTTCAGTCCGCAGGCCCACGCTCTATCTATCCACTGAGCCAAACCGGCCAGAGCTCAGCTTGCTTACTTTTGAACCTCTCAGGACTTCCAGCTTGCTCATCTTTAAAATGAGGTTGTTGAACCAGGTGACCCTAAGATTATTCCAGCCCTAAACATGTCTGATTTTTAAAAATTCATGATTTTATTTATTCAGGAAACATGGGCCACAGGTGTCATTCCAAACCCTGTACTAGGCATGAATGAACAAAAATGAGTTCTGGAGGCTGTTACTGACCTGCTCAATTTCCTTTAATCATATTTTTATGACTAATTCCAAAATTTTGTTATAAACCCTTCAGGCCCTGTTACTCTGTAATTAGCTTCACCTAAAGTTAAGACGTAAAGTCAGACTCCATTACAATGATTGGTTTTAGTCTAATCAGATTTTCCTAGTCTCAGCTACTGGCCCATTTAAATAAAACACAGGTTCCCTACAACACAAAGGACTTGAATGGTGTAGGGTGGTGCTTCTCAAACATTAACATGCATAAATCATCCGGGATCTTGTAGGTCTGAAGTGGGGCCCTAGAACTTGCATGTCAGACCACACTGAATATCAAGGGTTGGGAGATACTTTAAGGCAGCGGTTCTCAACCTGTGGGTCGAACGACCCTTTGGCGGTCGAACGACCCTTTCACAGGGGTCACCTAAGACCATCCTGCATATCAGATATTTACATTACGATTCATAATAGTAGCAACATTACAATTATGAAGTAGCAACGAAAATAATTTTATGGTTGCGTCACAACATGAGGAACTGTACTTAAAGGGCCAGAAGGTTGAGAACCACTGCTGAGGTGTTCATAGTGACAGTTTAAAGATAAGTGCTGAGCCCGGCCACTGTGGCTCAGCATTTGAGAGTCAACCAGGAACTAAGAGGTCGATGGTTCGATCCCCTCTGGGCACATGCCCAGGTTGTCGGCTCCATTCCCAATAGGGGGCCATGCAGGAGGCAGCCCATGTATGAAATTACTTTCCCATTGATGTTCCTACCTCTCTATCCCTCTCCCTTCCTCTCGCTCTAAAAATCAATAAGAACATATTTTTTTAAAGAAATAAAGATAGGAGCTGATAGCTGTGATATTAGATGAATAGTAATTGCTTTTTCCAACTCTCAGTTTTAAAAAATAATCCTATTCCGTGGAGGGTTGGGGCTGGGAGGTGTGGGAGCGGGGTGGGGAGGTGGTAAGAGATCAACCAAAGGACTTGTATGCACGCATATAAGCATAACCAATGGACACAAGACACGGGTTGTAGGGGAGGCCGGGGAATGTCAAGGGGGGAAAAAAGGAGACATATATAATACTCTTTGTAATACTTTAAGCAATAAAACAAAATTTTAAAAAAATAAATTAAAGGATTACTATATTAAAGAAAAAAACAACAAAATAAACCTACGTTTCTATGAAAAAAAATAATACTATTCACTTTAACAAAAGTAATTGTTTTCACAAGTTTTTTTTCTACTCTCTCTCCTTCCCTTCTTTCTTTGTGCAGAATCTTCTCAGTGTTTTCTCCTCTCTCATCCTCTTCCATCTTCAATTGTTTTCATTCACATTAATTCAATCATTCACTGATTCAACATGTGTCTTGCCCCATCTTGTACAAAGCACTGTCTTAGGCTCATGGCAAATACAGACATTAAGACACGGTTTTTGTCTGGGAACTACTGTCTTTGAAATGAGGCATAGTACAGAGTGCTGTAAGAGCCATCTGTGGGGAATAAAAACATGCGGTAGGAGTTCAGAGGGAGAGATCTTTTACAGTTGTGGGGACGGGAAACAAATGAAGTCATCTTTTTTCCACTCACTGGTCATCTCTGTCTTCCCAGGCTATACTCTGTATACTGTGTGAGTTTATGTGCCATATCTACAATAGAATACAGTATATAATTTTGTAAATTTATTTACTTGGAACCTGGGTTGAGCTTGATATACACGATAATCGATTAGATATGAGTAAATCATAGGAAGAGTGAGAGGTGGTGGGGATAAAAATATACCTGGATAGAGGGAGGGGAAAGATGAAGAGAAAGGAAGACAGAGGAGGACCCAGTAAAATAGAAGGAAAGATCTCAGGTTTTCAGGAGTCAGTCTGATGTACACTGCTCTTGCTATTTAGGCTGTGTTATCAACTTTTAAAGATCAAATTAGCTGGCATTCTTCATTCTTTTCAGTTTCCCTTAAATTTAAAAATTATGGGCTCTTAATTAAAATAATTGAAGAGGGTATTATTCTCTAGGCTGTTATAGTGGCTAAAGCACTATTGTCTTTCTATCATCAACCTTTCTTGCTGACATTTGATTTACATGCCTTATTCTCATTCAGTTTTATCTGAAACCTCCAAAATCACAACTATAACATTGTATTGAGAGGAAAATGATATAGAAAAACAGAAAATTCAACTGGACTTGTAACAGTCCATTTGGTACACATATTGAAATCCTAAAAAATCAAACTTGATTTGCTCTTTATGAAAAATTAACATGAACACATATATCTATCTACCCATACATGTCTGTAATCCAGTAGATTATTTATAATAATGAAGGAATAGAGATGTGAATAATCCAAAGAGGCAAAAAATTGAAAATGTATGTGTAGTAATGTAGATTTCATTTGAAACATCCTTAACCTATGCCTTGAAGCAGATTCCTATTTTGTATGTTTTATGAGGTATAATTAACATTCAGTAAGATGCACATATCTTTTTTAAAAAATATATTTTTATTGATTTCAGAGAGGAAGGAAGTGGGGGAGAGATAGAAACATCAGTGATGAGAGAGAATCATTGACTGGCTGCCTCTGCAACCTGGGCATTTGCCTTGACTCGGAATGAACCGTGATAGGTGGATGCTCAATCACTGAGCCACACAGGGCAGGCAAAATGAGCATACTTGAGTGTGTAGTTCAAGGAGTTCTGATAATTTTATACGATGTAACTTATACCAAGACAAATTAGAAAACATTTCCATCACCATGGAAAGTTCCCTCATATCCCTTTCCAGCCATTTCCTTCACCCACCCTTCTCCAAAGGCAACCACTTTGATTCCACATTTCTAACACCATAAATGTGTTTTGCCTAGTCATAGACTTCACATAAATGGAATCGTACAGTAGTATGTGCTTTTTTGTGTCTGGCTTCTTTCATGTAACAATGTTTTTGAGATTTTTCTGTGTTATGTATCTGTGGTGTTTTTTTGTGTTTTTTTTTATCACATCAATGTGAGAGAGGAACATCGATTGCTTGTCAACTGTACTCACCCTGACCTGGGATCGAACCCCAGCCTAGACATGTGCCCTGACTGGGAATTGAACCTAAAACCTTTTCGTGTATGGGACGACACTCCAACCAATTGAGCAGGGTTTGTTTGTTTGTTTTTCTCCACATTTTTAATGTCACCAATTTTTAGTGTTGTCAGCCTTTTTTATTTTAGCCACACTAGAAGATGTAAAATGGTACCTCATTATGGTTTTTAATTTGCCTATTCTGGACATTTCATATAAATGAAATCATACAATATGTAGTCTTTTGGGACTATCTCTTGCTCTTATATACTTAACAGTTCATTTTGAGAATCACTGAAATACAGACCAAGTTCCTTCACAGATGTGTACACTTTTTTACCTGTGAAGATATACCC